GTTTTTGGCTTGAATCTGAGACATTGAAGCCATTTCCCAGCTCCATCACAGAGCAGCTAGGATCGGCAACACCTGACCTCCATCTCTGGTGTCTTCAACCTCTTTGGTGCAGAATCATTTTATGCCAACATCGACATCCTAACCAGAATTAAATGTTTATACATATATTTTGGACCAATGACAATTAAAACAGCTTTAAACAAAATAAACAACTATTTTTATTCTATTTTTGTCAATGAAATTAATAGGCCTACTTTTATTCTACACAGAAAATGTTCTTGTTAATGAAAAAGTTATAGCTATGACTTTCATGGTTTAAAAATAAAGAAAAACTAAACTGTTGTAAAAGGGAGTGATTATGTTTTCCTCTATAAGATAATATGTTATAAAACACATTTTTATTAAATAATGAGATCAAAACTTTATTAATAACCTGCACCTTTTATATCACCTACTTTATATAAAACCGTTTATAAAATTTGCTGAATCTTAAAATTTCAGGCAAACATTTTTGAGAGCCGTTGTGAAAGGTCCAAAGAGCCACTTGCAGCTCTGGAGCCACAGGTTACAGACCCTATAGTAAAATCTCTATGGCCTTACCCAGACCCTTACCCAAAACCTACTAATGATGAACACTTATCTAAACCTTATCTAAACCTGTCCTGAATCAACCACCTGATGAGCCCCAATCCTATCCGGGGCCACTCCAGCCAACCACAGCGGCCACAAGACAAACAGCCTCTACTATAACCCCATGAGCATTCCAACAGGGACACCCATCCATAGGGCATAGTGCTAATGCAACAAATCCCCCCTTACCATGGGGGCACACCTCCACCAAAGAGGTTCACCGCTGAAGGAACTTACCATAGGAAAAGCATGCAACAAAATAGATGCACCTCCAAGCCCTGCAACCACAATCTCTGCCTCCCTACCCCTAAACCAAACACCCCCAAATCATAATCAGGGTGTAGGACTGCGGTTGATCAGCAACATCCAATAGGCTGACTGGCTGTGAGAGCAAAACATGTGGTTTTAAAAGTTTTTAACAAAATCAGACCCAAGTTTTGTTTGAAGGAAAGAGAATAAAATGGTATCTACAACAGGTTCAACCTTGATATGGACCTGTGCTTACTCACAGGAGACCTTTCAGTGGCTGGAGGGGAGAAAAACCCAGCGAATACTGAAAGCGAGCATCTATAACTACAACCCCCACAACTGGTGCTTTCCGAATGGTGTAAGATGAAGATGTCACCATGACATGTCCTTCACACCATTAAAAATGTCTTGAGAAAAGCTGTGCTTGTTGTCCCAAGGAGATGATTTAATGGAGCTGAGAGGAAATTAACTGTTGAATATTCTGCTGAGAAATAAACTATAAACCAATGTGTTCCGTGATTATATTTAAGAAGTCATTTTTCTGACTGTCGTGAAACAGAATTAGACTTTTAAACCCGTTTTTTTTTTTTTTTTTTTTTTTTTGGGAGGAGACCATGCAGAGTGACCATGGAAGCCCAAAATAAAGTAATTTGGACGCATGGACCGTGCAGACACATCAAGAATGATTCAAGCTTAAATTGTTCAGTAAACTTTGGCTTTAGTTTAAGGATGCAAACAATGAAAGCTGGAGAAAATGTTGATAGACAAACGCAGCCTTGTTTTCAGGTCATAATGTTGACAATAACTGTTGGCAGGTGTAAACTCATGGAAAAAATTTTGCTTCTGTTGGATATCTATGGGAGATATTTTTTTAAATGTAAGATTTATTTATCATTTTAATAATTAGAAAGTGGAACAATGGAGAAAAAGTGTCCAAAAGACTTCTATCCCCATTGGATTGTCACACAACCCAGACATACAGTATATACATTAAATGGCCTTTAAAACAAAAAGCTCTAGAAACATTGGTAATAAAAAGACATTTTGAAGAAAAATAAACTAAATAAATGATAACCCCCTCTCAAAATTACCAAACCAAACTAAACACCTTACACTGCAAAAAAATTTAATCTAAATAAGTAATTTCCTCCTTAAAATAAATGTATTTTTTCTTGAATTAAGTATTTAAGTGGGACACTTTGCCAATGGAACAAGACAATTTACACTTAAAATAAGAAAAAACAATTGCATTTTCTTATTTCAAGTGCATAATATCTAGATAACTTATTTTAAGAGTAAAAATACTCATTCTATTGGCAACTCATCTTATTTACCGGCTCAAATTAAGGGTAAATACCCTTAATTTAAGACATTGTTACTCATTTTAAGATCGTTTTTGCAGTGTATTGTGTGTGGGAGAAAGAAAATACAAAGATTAGAGGAAGAAACTCTGTAGTTACAGGGCTACCCCTAGTTTCATTGATATGACCAAATCCTGAAAAGGTAACCAGACTTTAGAAAACATATTTTCCTCTTAGCGAACATCTGATTTTTCCAGTTTCATAAAGGATCTTTTTTGTCCAGTGGAGCAGTGGGTAGCGCTGCTGCCTTGCACCAAGAAGGTTCTGGGTTCGATTCCTGGTCCAGGTTCTTTTCTGCATGGAGTTTAGACGTTCTCCCTGAGCATGTGTGGGTTCTCTCCGTGTACTCCGGCTTCCTCCCACAGCCCAAAAACATGACTGTTAGGTTAATTGGCTTCTCTAAATTCTCCTTAGGTGTGAGTGTGCGCGTGAATGATTGTTTGTCTCTGTGCACCAGGGTGTACCCCGCGTCTCACACAGCTGGAGATAGGCACCAGCAGCTTATATGACCCTGGTTGGGATAAGTGAGACAGAAAATGGATGGATATTTTATCCAGTGGGAGTTTGTGGGTGGATGAGTGTCATTCTAATCCATTAAAATGGCTACAGACATTTATTTCCTCATAAAATGGATTTTTATACTATTTTTACATGATATTATTTACATTATTTGTGCAATATGCTTTAAACCTGCCATTTTAACTGTAGGGACAGGTTAGATCTCTACTCTCAGACATTTTTTCTCAGCATTTTAAAAGTCTTGCCATGTTGTGAAAAGTAAATGCTGCTATTTAGTCAGTAATTGTGGACAAAATCCAACAATAATCAGAGTGTTGATTGCTTCAAGCATAAACTTTATTCAACATTGTAGAATCTTAAAGAAGTTTCAAACAACAAACCTTTTAATTCCCTGGCACCAATTGTCCTTATTTTTATCAAATGCAGCCTGCTGTGTTGTGATGCATGCCTTATTATTTTGGCAACGTATGCTTCTTTATGCAAATGCTCGCTAAATTGTAAAAAATCTGCAGCATGGTGGATCACAGCTGTTTAATGCAATCAGGAGCTTTTGAATATCTTAGCATTTCTCTATGCCTTTATGCTCTGCAGTAAAACACCAGGAAGTTTGCATTCCTCGAACGTTCAGTCGCCATGCAGATGATTTTCACGAGCGTCAGTGAATCATGAAGGACACTTAAGTCTGAGATGTGATCAAAATACGCAAGGGGAGCTCGGCACTCGCTGTTCATTAGATATATTACCCATTTGTTTGCCCTCTGCTCGACAGAGTCTCTGTTGCTTCCTGTTACACTCATGTCATTACAAATGTATACATCTGCCCGGGGAAAAGATTGCTCCTCCTCAGAAGGATGAAATAAGACAGAGGATACATGCAAACATAAATTATGGACTTCCCTGTTTTTTGTTGTTTTAAAAAAAAAAACATTGCATTTAATAAATCTTTAAAAATAAAAAAGAAATAGATTTCTGTTAAGAAAAAACAACAACAAAACAAGCAGAAAAGCATTCAATGCAAAAAGAATTCTGTAACTTGAGAGAAAGAAAAAGAGCCTTAAAATACAATGTGGAGCACAAGTAACAAACAGCCCCTTTGTGCAGCTGTGGTGGAAAGTCAAGGGACTCAGCTCCACAGCAAACTGTTTGCTGAATGTATAGTGCCATCATGTGCTTAGCTTTATTCATTACATTCATTTGAATTTTTTTTAGATACAGTATTAAATCGATCTTTATATCCACATGTCATAAAAGTCAAAGAACGTCATACTCTTCATAAAAATGGGGAGGTTATTTACAGTGTAAAGGTAAAGAGTGATCCAGAGAAGGTTGTTGGGAAGAAAAACAACAAATTGTAGCTGGGGAGGGGGTCATCTGGGTTTTATCTTTGTCAAATTGCAAAGGCTGAGAAGCATTCATCAAAAACGGAGCTAATGAGGCTGAAAAGCTGATGCCGACCGGCCGCAAACTCTCAGTCTGCTCGCATTAATTTTCTGGTGATATTCTGCTTGGGTTTAATGACACTTCCATCATTAAAGTTAGTTCAGATCCCTCCCCCTAAAAATAAAAAACCCTCCAAACTGTTTTAGATTCCACAGCACCCACGTTGACCTTCAGATATATTCTGATGATAAGCAGATTTCAAAAACTCTTTTGGTGTTCATTGAAAGAATTTAAGGAATTTTCACCCTTAAATTAGACTAGAATGAGATGTAACTGATAGATCCACAGGAGAAAAACATTTCAAAGCCACTAATAGCAGTGCCATGAGACCAGTTTGTTGCTTTGAAGTCATAGTTAATGATGAAAGATAAGTTTTAGGTCAGTGAATGCAAACATAATGCCTCACACCTGGATTTGAATAAAGAGCTTAAAGGCAGATAAGGAATAAAGTTAGAAACAAGTGTAAGTTAGGTTAAAAAACATCTCAAATATCATGATTTATTTACATATGGCTGTATACTACCTAAACAGAGAGTGTTTATGAGGGGAGGGAGTCAAGAATTTCAAAGTAATTGTGGGGGAGCTGCATGGATCCATAGCTCAGGTGGGAGAATCTGCTGAAACAAATCAGTTTTGCACCACACAGATTACAGGAAACAAAAGGCACTGCTGAAAGTAGCCAAAGGTCGTATAGAGGACAAAGCATACATGCTTTGCACTGTACCCTAAATAAACGCACAATGGTGCCAGCATAATTATGTATGGATGTATTTTTTCAGCTTTTCATCCAACTTTGTCCAGATGAGCAATACTACTGCTAAAAAAAAAGCTTTCTAGATCTGCAATGCATGTGGAGACATACAGCAGAGCACTTGTAGTTGCAGCTGATAAGAAAGTAGGCCCTGTGAGGCTTTGACTTAAGAGGGCTGAATCATAAGCATGCAAAACTAGTTTAAATTTTCCTTGCAAGGAAAATATGAAAACCGCATCCTTTTTTCACTTCACTTTTAAGCAGAGCTTTTTTTCCCCCCAGTATGCTGAAGTCCTAATAAGACACATTAAAGCTTGCGGAAATAACATGACAAAGAATAAGAGTAGAAGTAAAAGCGAGGGATAAACTACCTGGTTCCATCTACTTTAAATCCATTTTGATGGCACCAATTTGAACTATATGTAGTCAAAAATATGGTTTTAAGAAATCTTTTCAATGTAAACATGGCTCTTATAGATGTAACAATGGTTCCATTGTAATCTCCCTTGTGCTTTATTCATTTTTTATTTAATTTCCATTTTTCCCTTAACTCTTAATGCCCTATGTCAAAAGAGATGAGGCCAAATGAGAGGCAGAAGCCTAAAGTTGTGAAAGACCCAGAGTAAGGAGCAGGCTGGAGCAAGAGCTGGGCTGCTGTTTCTGATGCCACCAGAAGGCGACTGATTGTGTCTCCTCACGCTCCTGGTGCGGAGAGTTGCTGTCCTCTTTGTTTGGGTGGAGGAGGCCTCTGTTATAAAAAATCGATCGGAGGCCGGCTCCACGTCGTTTCCTTTAGATGTGTCAGTAATGAGACTTTTGTCAGAGAAATGGGATGAGTCCGCTGTGTGGAGTGAGTCTGAAGTTTCCTTTGTGCCAGAGATGAGATGATCTATTGTCTCCAGGCTGCCAGTTCCAGCCAAGTGATTAATTGTTAAGGTGGAAATGCCGATAGGCATTTCTGTGAAGGCATGGTGCGGTGTGTTTAGAGCTTCTCTGCGGGTTTGGGGCGTGCTGTGGAGAGCGTGAACAGACCAGAACCACTGGGTGACGCTCTCTTCAGCCGATATGGAGCTCAGATCTAAGGTACCGGCTTCCAGAGGAGGAAGGATGAAGGAGTCCAAGTTCCAACCTCCAGTCCTGCTAGTGTGCGTCCCTCCACACACAGGCTGAGTGTGGCAGGGGCAGCCCAGGACAAGCACAGAGGTGCTCTGAGTCCAAGACTGTAAATAGTCAACATCAGCATAAAGGTGGCAGGCCCACGGATTGTTTCCTAGAGTTATAACTCTAAGGGAAATCATCTTGTCCAAAACTCCAAAAGGTAGTGAGGAGAAGCGGTTAGCATGCAGGTAGAGGTGAGATAACCTTGGGAGTCGGTCGAGAGAACCCGGCAGCACCTTTCCAAGCAGGTTGTGAGACAGATCTACAGTCTCCAGATGTGCAGGCAGGTTTGTTGGCAAGGTCCAGAAGTGATTGTGGCTGAGATTGAGCATGCGTAGATTAGTCAGGGTGTTATTAATGAAGATGACTCTCTCTAGCTTGTTGTTGGAGAGGTCGAGGATCCGCAGGTTCCACTGGTAGACCGTGTCGTTCTTGTCCAACAGCTGGATGTGGTTGAAGGAGGCGTGGAGCTCCCAGAGAGACCGAGGCAGAGCTTCAGGCAGGCGTCTCAGCCTGTTGTGGGATAAATCCAGGACACGGAGGTGGGTGTATGAGGTAAGCCTGCCATCCAGATGGAGAGGCCGGTTGTGGGACAGGTTGAGGGAGAGGATGTTATGTTGCAAACCATCGGGGAGCTCTCTCAGGCTCTTCCGGAAACAGTCCACCTCTCTGTGGCTACGGCTGCAGGAGCACATGGAGGGGCACACGGCCAGGACGCGAAGCCCGAGCAAGAGCACGAGCACGAGCTCCAGGAGGGCCTCATTAAGAATCAGCTTGGACAGAGCAGGCCTGCTGAGGGAAGAAAAAACGAAGAGGAGAATGTGATTATATAAGGAGCTGAATGAGCAAAACACAGCAAACTACTGCTGATACAACAAACACATCATAAGGTATACATTATGTCCTTTCATACAACAGAATAACAACAAACCTGAAATGTAAAAATATTTTTTTAACTACACTGAAGAATATCATCCATAAAAAAGGGAGGATAAGCCCCTGCAGTCATTTTCATTGTTATCAGTTTGTTTTCAGCCATCAGTGGAGTCAGTCGCATGCTCTCAGAGGAGGAAAACTAGCCCAGTACATGGATTTTAGTAACGGCTCCACCAGGACTCATCCATGAGCTGCTCCAAAGACACAGCCGACAGCTACTGCAGTGTTTTTTTCCCTTCTTCCCTGCAAGCCCAGGGTGTGGTTAAATGTGTGCAAGAAGAGTCTTTAAATGTGTTCAGAACTCACCTCCTCATCTTATCATTCCAGTCACTTTTCTCTGCTCCTTTTTGCTGCTCAGCACCTCTTCTGTCTCCTCTCTGCTGCTTTCAAGCTCGGGACCAGCTGGTGCTCTGCTGAAGGTGATTTTTTTTTTCTTCCTCTGTATCTATCTTAGAATTTGACCCTTGCTCCCTTGTCCAATGCAGGTGTTTTGCCCTAACTTTCATGCAGTCCAGTCCCCTTTTCTCCTCCCTATGGAAGCTGAGAGTTTACCACTGCATCTTATGGATCTTTCGGGTTGGCGCGATCAGGCACTGCAGACTCTGGATTTACTGTGTGCAGTGAAAGTGCGAGGGGAGGGGTGGCGTGTTAGCAGGGAGAAGTATTGGGAAGGAGAAATGGAGCGAATAATGGAAGGGCTCTCTGCATACAAGAATCCCACTAGGGAAACTCCTTAGTCCCTTTTAAATCTCTCGGCTTTAAAGATCTACTCCTGTGTTCCGAATAACAGCTAATGTTTAGTTTAGTTTAACTGGATGTTTGTACTTAAAATAAAGACTGTTATCAGTTATCTGCTCAATATAAATCATGCCTCTCTAAAGAACCCCAGTGGAAGTCGATGAAGGGCTGTAATTGGCTTTAAATGTAGAGGCTGCCACAAAGAGCCGTGAGATTTATTACAGAGGACTCTCCTCCTCTGCAGCACCCCACCTGTCATCAGCAATACAGCCAAATCTCCATCTTGCACTGCATTGCTGCACTTCTGCCTCCTGGTTACATGAGGTCCCAGTACTGTGCCCTCCCAAAGCTTTCATACCCTTTGAACTTTTATCACATATCATCTCGAGGCACTTTACAGGGTCAGCCAAGTCACACAAACGTTTGTTAAAACGTTTCGATTTAATGAAATCCATTGGATTGTATTGAATGGTTGATTTGCAGCTTTCACTCCCCCTGGAGCAGCGGACAGTCGCTTACATTGTGTCATTGCATTGACTTTGCAGCAATCCCTCATATTGAGCATGCATGTCGCGACAGCAGAGTGGAAAACAAAAATGCAATTTATAATCAGAGTGAAAGGCCTTCTAACACAACCAACTTGGTGTTTGAGAGGACAGAGCAGAGACACAAAGCTCTGATCAGGAAGTAATCTCTATGAGAGTGCAAAGTTAAAAGCTAATGGCAGTAGCAGCTTCGTCACTGATTTCCTCTAAGAAGACGATGCAACCAATTAGAAGTCTTTAGGATAATAAAAAGAGCACATACAGTTAGTTGCATAGCCACCAGCTATGTCTGATCATTGAAAGATGAGTGGCAACAGATAAACAGTGTCAAGGAAGATGGCTTTGGTCATTTTAAAGAGTTTTATATTAGTTCAAATCAGCAAAAATTGGAGGGTTTAAAAAAAAAACATAATATAACGTAATGTCATCAGAAAAACACATATTGATGGATTCTTCTGTTTAACGCTGCTCTCTGAGGCTTTTTGATAGACCAAGGATACAGATGTAAAGAAGTTGCGAAGTATGGCAGAACTGCAAACTAGTTACACAGAGCATCTATCAGGAAAAAACAACTTTGAGCTTCTTGGAAGGAGCCCAACATAACTTTTGAGTGAGTGCTAAATGGTTTATGGCCAACAGATTCCAGTTCAGTAATGATACATTTTCTTCATTCTCCAGGGATTCCTGTGGAGGACCACAGATGGCCAACAGATTCCAGTTCAGTAATGATACATTTTCTTCATTCTCCAGGGATTCCTGTGGAGGACCACAGGGCTCAGTGTTTTTTGGCCAATTATCTCTAACTCTTTCTTCATGGATTCCCTTGCGAAAGTATTTGGCCTCCTTGAACTTTATGACCTTTTGCCGTATTTCCGGCTTCAAACATAAAGACATGAAAGTGCAATTTTTGTGAATGAACAAGTGGGACACAATCATGAAGTGAAATTTATTGTATATTAAAAATTATTTGGGGGAATAAAAGACAGAAAGACAGGGTATGTAAAATTAGTCGTCCCCTTTACTTTCAGAAATTCAGTGAGGATCTCTGATTGATCCAATGTTGACCTAAATGACTGATGATGATGACAAATAGAATAAATCTGTGTTTGATCAGGGGTCCGTTTTAAGCAAGTTTACCAAAAACTTGAAGTTGTCTAAAGCTAAAAACTGGGAAACTAGGTTTGGGAATTGATAAGATTTTCACAATTGCGATTACCCTATCCATTCCTTGAAACGATTTGATTCCTTATCAATTCTCTTATCGATTCTGTGAAACAATGAACTTGGTAAGTGCACGGTGACATTCATCTATCTTCGCTGGAGACTTTCTATTTCTGCCTGTCTCTGTGAAAAAACAGAAGGCAGTAAACGGGAGCTGCCAGCCTCTGAGCCAGCCAGGCTACACGTCTCGTCACAGACATCTAAATCTAATGGAGAAGGCATCTGTTTTATGAAAAAGCATTACTGTACAATTTCAGGAAATAAACTCCTCTCACCCTGATTTAAATAAACGAGCGTCACCTTTCTCTCTCTCCCTGAACTGCGGAGCAACTTCATAGCATGTTTAATAACCCCAAAGAGAGGTCGGAAACTGGTTTATTTCCAGAAATGGCATCTGATTTACTAGTAACCACATTAAGCACAGCCAGTGATATAAAACTAGTTGCCTTCCCTGCTGGTCGTAACTTTAGCTTCTGTCCGGAAACATAAAAAACACAGCATTCGTTAAAGCGCCTCGCTGCCATCTTTCTCTTTCTTAAAATGAAACCAAACTTTGACATCACCAACTTACACCTGGTCACGTCGTACTTGCTTACTGAATGCCGTGTGCGTAACTTGCGTAAAAAGCGTGACGCAAGTCTTGCTGCCCAGCGCTAGGCTCTGGTGCTGCCAGGAACCGTTAAGAGAACCATTAAGCGAGTTGCCAAACGGTGCCATGGAATTAGAACACACGGAACCGGTTCTGGACAGCAACCGGTTTTCGATTCCCATCGCGGAAACTCTGACTGTTTCAGTCATCATAGTAACATTCTCCCCAGAGCTAACCTGGTCAGCAGCAGGTTTTCTTCTCCTCAGCCAATCATGCTGTTTTATTTCCTGATTTAGTCCAATTTTTGTTGTAGTTTTGTTACACACATCTTGCATGTCCGTTTGAGAAGGATCTTATTAAAGAATAATCGGCACTTTTTCATAGAGAATTAAATATTTATAGGGAGAGGATCTGCAACTCAGTTGAGAGGGCATGAGATTAAGTACTGTAATCTCAAAACAAGTGTTTTTGGTTTGTTTAATATAGATGTGAATCCTTTCATTTTTATTTAGTTATTTTTACATGAAGAACTACTGAAATAATTTTCAGATTACACGGGGGAAAATTAATTATTTTATGGTTGGGATTAGGATTCGCTCAATGATAACTACCTAATGAGCCTACTGGCACAATCTGAAACCATTCTATGGGACTGATAGCTGCTTATAACAGCCATTTATTGGGATGATAACATCCAAAGCAAACGGCTACTTTACTGTGTAAAAGACTGAATCAACATGAGGATTGACATGTTGATTCAGTCAAGGGTGCTGAATAATTTTGTACAAGCAATGTTTCATATTTTTATTTATTTAAAAAGTTGAAAATATTCAAAAACTCTCAATCCACTTCATGATTGAACTTGGTGTTGATTTTGTTGGAGGAACCAGCTCTCACATCTTCATCAGCTAGTATTTCAGCTTTAACTTAAATAATGAAGACTTAAAATATGAGTAATATACACATGTTTGTGGTAGTAATGAGTCAAAAAGAGAACAAAGTAAAAAAAAGTATATGAACTAAACTGGTGCAAAGCACAATGAAGGCTAAAGCTGGGACGACTTTACCTGTTTTACAGCACTTTTTTTAATTCATGCAAGACAAGGAGAGGCTTCAGCTTTATCTAGTTTTTTTCATACATCTGCTCAACAAAGCCATACACTAAATATAGCATCCATTTGCAGCCTGCTCACTACTTCCTCAGCCACTTCTCTGTGCGCTTCCAGCCAACCCCCCGCCTGCCTAAATGCTTCTAGTTGCTGCTTCACCAAGACTGAAACTCATGTATTCTGTCACTGCTCCTTCCTGCAATCCTCAAAGTCAAACTCTCCATATCAGTCTGCATGCCATTGTCAGTTTGAGCCGTGTTGTCAAAAAGCATTCGGATAAGACTCCTGCTGAGTTATACTTTCCATGGGCTCCCTGTTATTTGGTGCATCTGCATTCGATCGGTTCACTTGCACGAAGCTGCCCAAACAAAGCTTTGTGGTTTCTACCCCAAGCTGTTTATTTAAAGCTTTTATTAAAAGGTAAAAATCTATCGTTGTCACAAGAGGAGAGATAAAGAAAATTCTACACATGACAGCCGAGAAAATGCCTGTATTTGTTTTTTTTTTTAAAGAGTCTGCCTTTTTGTTGGGCTGTGCCAGCTCTGGCTGCTTTCTAAAGGAGCTGTGTGGCACAGCCTAAAAGGAGCTCATTCTGCGCTTGCTAATCACACTCATCTCCAATTCACTTTTTCACTGCTCCCTTCGTTTTACTGGCTTATAGTGCCTTGCAGAAGCATTCAGAACCAGGGAACTTTTCCACATTAAATCCAAACACTACAATACGGGAGAGAAAAGCACAAATGCCTTTAAGTTTCTTTCTTTCCTTTCCATGCTTTTCACAGGCATCCTTTATTTTTAATGCAGCTGCAGGTATTTCAGCATATCAGTGTCAGAATTCCAGATTCAGAAATTGCAGAGCAGTTTTTGACACAGTTAGATTTAGATCTGGACTTTGACTGGGCCTTTCAGCACAGCTTTCCTATTAGTTCCTGTCAGCAAACATAGTGGCAGTTTGATTGTAGGCCGCTAAGCCAAACTTTTTTAAGCGCACAACCAAAAACCACATGACAAATTGTGAAGCATTTCAAGGTGACACGGACACAGACAGAGCTTGTGCAACCCAATAGGAACTGAGAATAAAGAGTAATCTTCCTGTTTAGGAGCCCATACAAAACCCAAGATACGCATTTATTGGTCTGGTTTGGATTCTAAATAAGGAAAAAGTGACCAACTGAACAAGTTTTTCAAATTTTAATTTCGAAAAGGCACAAATATACAAGCATGGTAGAGATGGATTGTTTTTGTTTAGTCCAGGGTTAAAATCACATATATGCACTATTAGATTTAAAGGAATCGAGAAGTAGCTAAAAAAAAAAAGGACAAGCCAAAGTTATATTGAGGAGATGGGTAAATTTAAAACTCAAAGTGCAGATTCTATG